AAGGACCTTAGGAGACCAGTTGTTGGAGGTTTAAGAAGACCTGAGGAAACCGATCGTTGGAGGTTTTGAAGGACCTGAGGAAACCAATCTTAGGAGGTTTTGAAGGACCTTAGGAGACCAGTAGTTGGAGGTTTTCAAGGGAATGATTTCCCTCTCTGGTCTGATGGGGGATTTAGCTGTTCAACAATCCTGACTCTTCCTTGCTGGACTTTTTGCAGACTGGGAGCAGATGTCGTTGTAAAATCTGCAGATACTTCTCTGCATTACTGAAGACATTCCAGATTTGTCAGCTGCCTATGCCAGAGGCACCAATGCACCCCCATACTATCAGAGAGGCAGGCTTTTGAACTGTGAACTGATGACAGGTTGGATGGTCCCTCTCCTCTTTAGTACAGAGGACATATCACCTGTGGTTTCAAAAAACAACTTCAGATTTGGATCTGTCTAACGACGGATCAGTTCTGGACTTCACCTCAAACAAATGAGCTCTGGTCCAAAGAAAACAGCAGCGGTTCTGGATGGTGTTCACATTTGGCTTCTTCTTTGTCTAACAGAACTTTAAGCAGCTTTTGTGGATGGCACAGTGAACTTGTCACCTTTGTACTTTGAGCTCAGAGATTTCTACAAATTCTTCTAATCCATTGATGAGATTATGATCTATCGGTAAAATATTTACAGTTTTCCTAATCTTCCTTTTAGAAACATTATTCTGAAATTATTCCACATTTTTAACAGACTAGTGAGCGTCTGTTCATCTAAAATTATATTTCCATATCCATTATTTTTACCAATTAACCTGATTAATCACTCAATGCTCCTCCACCAACCTGCTTCACTCACATCTAGAGCCTTTTGTTGCCCCTGGTCCAACAGTTTTTATTCTTATTGCCACCATCAAATTAAAAAAGTACAATTTCTTAGTTTAAACATTTAACGTGTTTACTTTATTCCATTAGGAAAAAAAAGTTATTAACTTTACAAATCATTGCAATTTGTTTGTATTTACATTTTACACATTGTTTTTCAGAATTGGGGGTTTATTTAAATTTTTTTTTTTTTTTTCATTCTGGCTATGAAAGCTAAAAATGATAAAATGAAGTTGGTCCTTTGTTCTCATTTTGACAAGTTACAGTCACACAAGTTTTTTTTATTTTTATCAAGTCACAGAAACTAAAATACACAGCGTAAAACCTTAAAAAACCTTTGTTGCTCCAGCTGTACCTGACTTGTGTCATTTTAAAAGTTGATTCTTCCCACTCCGATCTTACAAAAGAACAGTTCAAGAGTCAAAAATGTTACTTTCCTTGTTCTGGAACACAATGTTCCAGCTGAGGACGAGCGTGTACCACGAATACTAAAACCTCCACAGAAATGATGAGTTGAACATCAGAGCCACACGGAGGGCAAGGACCAGTCGTTCAGGCCAAAATGAATGAATCACGTCCAAAGAGCTTCACCTTTTGACTTCAGGGAAGGCGAACAAGTAACAGAAGGCGGAAGTCCCGTCAGACAAAACTGGTTATTGTGTTTTATAGGAAAATAAAAACATGTATTAAAATGTAGTTTTTATTCATTTTGCACCTGTACAATATTTGTTTCTGTTTATCCAACAAAGTTAAGTCAGGTCCTCTGGACGGTTTCTTTTTGTTGAAACATTTCGTCTTTCATCCAAAGGACTTCATCAGTCCAAGGAGCCACAACAAATTCAGTCTTATAAATATCACCTTCACATAGTGGGTCATCTAGTTTGATGATGCTAAGGCAATTTCTGGAGCCTGCCCTCTCCCCTGATGAATTTTCTGAGGCAGTTATGGCCAAAGTGGTTCAAAATATCAAAATGCACCGTCCAGAGGACCTGACTTAACTTTGTTGGATTCTTCTACCTGGATTAAGGAGCATGAGTTTTGATATATATCTTTACTTTTATGTTTTATGTAGCTAACTGTATTTAAACTTCTAACTGTTTTGAACCAAATTCAGCCAAAATGGATTCTAAAGATGCTCTAATCCAAGTTAGGACCAATTTTATGACTAGTTAACCTAACATGTTTTTTTTAAGTCAGTGTCTGAGTTAATACGAGCTCAACGTATCAGGAAACATTCAAACCGTCCGAGGCGAGAGAGCAGCACAGTTCCCTTCATCAACATTTAGTTTCTACATCTTAAAGGTTCTCACTGCCAAATCAAACATAAGGTTATTTTCTGAATAAAGCGGAGCAGGTTTTTCCAGCTTCAATGATGCACAACTTTGAAATGTGGGTCCACAGTCAATGTAAACACAACACTGGGCTGAATCCAAACCAGAGGGAGCTTGAGTCTAATGATTGACCTACAGGAGGCCGATCGTAGTCTGTGCAGGTAAACAGATTTGGATGACGGGTTTAACGTTTCATCTCTTTTTAGTCGTTTTGGCTCATTAAACCAAAGCACCTGGCAGCCGGTCGCAAAAGCGATTCTACATTTTTAAATGAAGGACGTGTTAACCTTTGATTAGAGAAAAAAATTGTTTTATAAAATGTTTATTTTTCTGATTTTTACAATTTAGCAATTAGTTTCTTTTGTAGAGACGTTTCTGGTCCACCATCCGGCGTCTCAGGGGGGGGAAGCGGTATGCCACCAACACTGTTTATAGTGGGAGTGGTTTGCTGCTGACCTCAACTCGGGATGTTGTGGGTCGGTGGGCGGAATACTTTGAAGACCTCCTCAATCCCACCGGCACGTCTTCCACTGAGGAAGCGGAACCTGGGGACTCTGGGTCGGGCCCTCCAATCTCTGGTGCTGAGGTCACCGAGGTTGTTAAAAAGCTCCTCAGTGGCAGGGCCCCAGGGGTGGATGAGATCCGCCCAGAGTTCCTTAAGGCTCTGGATGTTGTAGGGTTGTGTTGGCTTACGCGACTCTGCAATGTTGCGTGGACATCGGGGGAAGTTCCCCTGGATTGGCAGACCGGGGTGGTGGTCCCCCTATTCAAAAAGGGGGACCGTAGAGCGTGTTCCAACTACAGGGGAATCACGCTCTTAAGCCTCCCTGGTAAGGTCTATTCGGGGGTTCTGGAGAGGAGGGTCCGTCGGATAGTCGAACCTCGGATTCAGGAGGAACAGTGCGGTTTTCGTCCTGGCCGTGGAACACTGGACCAGCTCTACACCCTCAGCAGGGTCCTGGAGGGTGCGTGGGAGTTTGCCCAACCAGTCTACATGTGCTTTGTGGACTTGGAGAAGGCTTTCGACCGCGTCCCTCGGGGGGCCCTGTGGGGGGTACTCTGGGAGTATGGGGTACCAGGCCCTTTGATACGGGCTGTTAGGTCCCTGTATGACCGGTGTCAGAGCGTGGTCCGCATCGCCGGCAGTAAGTCGGGCTTGTTCCCGGTGAGAGTTGGACTCCGCCAAGGTTGCCCTTTGTCACCGATTCTGTTCATAACTTTTATGGACAGAATTTCTAGGCGCAGCCGAGGTGTTGAGGGGATCCGTTTTGGTGGCCTCAGAATTGCATCTCTGCTTTTTGCATATGATGTTGTCCTATTGGCTTCATCAAGTCGTGATCTACAGCTTTCGCTGGAGCGGTTCGCAGCCGAATGCGATGCGGCCGGGATGAAGATCAGTTCCTCCAAATCCGAGGCCATGGTCTTGAGCCGGAAAAGGGTAGAGTGCCCTCTCTGGGTCAGGGAGGAGGTCCTACCCCAAGTGGAGGAGTTCAAGTATCTTGGGGTCTTGTTCACGAATGAGGGAAAAATGGAGCGTGAGATCGATAGGCGGATAGGTGCAGCGTCTGCAGTGAAGCGGGCGCTGTACCGGTCTGTCGTGGTGAAGAGAGAGCTGAGTCAAAAGGCGAAGCTCTCAATTTACCGATCGATCTACGTTCCCACCCTCATCTATGGTCACGAGCTTTGGGTTGTGACCGAAAGAATGAGATCTCGGATACAAGCGGCCGAAATGAGTTTTCTCCGCAGGGTGTCTGGGCTCTCCCTTAGAGACAGGGTGAGAAGCTCGATCATCCGGGAGGGACTCGGAGTAGAGCCCCTGCTTCTCCACATCGAGAGGAGCCAGTTGAGGTGGCTTGGGCATCTGTTTAGGATGCCTCCTGGATGCCTCCCTGGTGAGGTGTTCCGGACACGTCCCACCGGAAGGAGGCCCAGGGGAAGACCCAGGACACGCTGGAGGGACTATGTTTCTCGGCTGATCTGGGAACGCCTCGGGATTCCCCCAGAAGAGCTGGCCCAAGTGGCTGGGGAGAGGGAAGTCTGGGTCTCCCTACTTAGGCTGCTACCCCCGCAACCCGACCCCGGATAAGCAGAAGAAAATGGATGGATGGATGGATGGATGGGTTTCTTTTGTACTTTAGGTCCAAATGAGCATTTCTGTTGCCTTATGGGCACGCTTTGAAATAAATATATTGTATTTCCAAGTGTCATTAAAATAAAGGTTTAAACTAATTAAGTTAATTAGATCAGTAGAAATGTGTACATTATTTGTGGTTCCTGCTTCATGTTATTCAAGACTGATAATAAGGGGTTTAGATTAAAAAAGTTAAAAACTTTAAATCAAGTATTTTGTCTAACTTGTAAAAATTGGTCACATTTGAGCAACATTCCTTATTTATCCATGTAAATATATATTTAGGCAAACTGACCCAAAAAAAAAAAAAAAAAACTATTTGGGAAATAAAAGTGTAAAAACAGGTTGAAATGTGATTAATTTATTTAAGTGTAATTTAATTTAACTCATAAATGTTTGGTTATATTAGCTGTTCACTGTTTGGTGTGTTTTTTTTTTTTATAGGGCTCGCATCTAAAACTTTAATATATTTTAAATTTCATTAAAAATCTCAGAACTGCATGTGTTCGCGCGCAGCGTGGCGGGATCCAGCTTCAGCACCGGCACCTGGACAGCTCCTCGTGCGCGAATGAGCACGCGCCTGCTGGTTTCTCGCGCCTCCAACGTCTCCGTCCTGGAGCTAAAACGGACGCGCTCCGTTCACCTGTTCTTCTCCTCCGGGGAAAGTTGCGTGCGTGAAAACGAGGCTTGCTGCACGAGCACGAGAGGAGGAGAAGAGAAGTTTCTGAGCGTGCAGGTGCGCACTCACCGGTCTCCACAGCTTCTGTCTCCTCCCTGTGATGGACGTGGCGATGACAATGAAGTGGGACACGGCCAGCATCAGCCCGAACAGCACGGCCAGCAGCGTGCGCACCGGCAGCAGCACGTAAGCCACGAGGGTGACCAGCATGAGCTGCCACACGCCCTGCTCCGGGGCCGCGGCGGACACCGGCTCCGGCGTCCCGGGCGCCAGCAGCGGGAAGGGGCAGCAGAGCAGCGCGAACGTGAAGCTGAAGAGCAGCGCGAGCTTGGCGATCTGCTGCAGCTGCGTCACCTGCAGGTACTTGACGTTGGTGACGATGAAGAGCGAGAGGAAGACCACGCAGTGCACCGGGTGCGAGCCCTTGGACAAGGTGAGCCGCGGGCTGGACAGCAGCTCCACCAGGGACAGCGACGACGCGGCCACGATGAGCACCGCCAGCGCCTTCAGGGTGGCGGTCTGCTCCAGCTTCAGGTTGTAGTTCTGGAAGAGAGCCTCCAGCTCCCGGCTGCTGAACTGGTCCTCGCAGCCGGCGGCCCCCAGCGGCGCCCCGGCCGGGCAGTGTCCCTTCCTCCTCCGCCTCGTCTTGACTCTGTCGAACGGCATCTCCTCCATGACGGTCCGGCCATTCATGAAGCGGAGGTGGTGGCGCGCGACGCTTCAACTTTCCGGCTGCGCTCCTCCTCCTCCCGGGAATCGAACCGACACCCTCTCCCGGGTCATGGAGGAGGTCCGAGGTCCGGGCTCGGTGTCAGAGGGGGAGAGGGTGGCACGCGAGGACGCAGCGGAGCACCGCGCGCGCGCTCTATCCACAGGTTGTGATGGAGTGTCTGTGCGTCGTCAAGAAAGTAGCCGGACAACTGTGCTGCGCGCGCCTCTTCGCTGTATGGCAAGCCGTTTGTGTATTTATTCAACATCCTCGATAGGAGTCATTTTCTGAAACAGAGTGGTGAACTAGTGCAACATTTTTGTTGACAGCTATACTGTCAATGTGCCAAAAAAAAAAGTCCCTGTTAGTTGACTTTTGAACACACGACTGGACCACTCTTAAAAATGTCAACTAGTCCAATTAAATTTGACTTTGCTCAACAGGAAATAACTGTCAGATATGCGACCTCTGACTGATAAACATTTACTTCAGCTCTTAAAACAAAATACAGTAGGCTGCATGTTCAGGTTTTATGTATAAAGCTTTTTTAATTATTGCCGCAGGGACGTCACCATGTGGTTTACGTTGCATTCTGGTTAAATGATGTTGCTCCAGTGCAAGCTCCATCCAGCTTGAATATATATTTGGACAGTGTCTGATGCTCAGGCAGAGGGGAGATAGCAGAAATGACTCAGCATGCACCTGAATGGGATCTGAGCGACGAAGAGGAAAGAGATGGAGAAAAGAAACGAGAGAGATTATGCTGCAAAGAGCTCTGCTTTGTGCACAAACAAATAATTAAGTACAAAAACACAGACGGAAAGGATGAACTGACAGGACAGCACACCCAAATAACAAAAAAAATAAAACAAACCATAAAAGGAATGCAAAAATACATTAAAGGACTATAATCATCTGTTAATGTGAGGATTTTTATGCTAATTTATGTGGCAGTCAGTGAGTGGTTTGGTCCAGTTGCCCATTACATTAAAAAAAAAAACAAGTTGTGTCAAAAAGGCTGTTTCTAGAACTAGTGCAACTATTTTTTTTTCTATATGGACCTAGTTGTGTCTTTAATAAAGGCGACGATGATGATGATAAATGCACAGGTAGTGGAGTGCAGTCTTGAACTGGTGGGAGAAAATCACCCCTGATAATGAGCATATCCAATAAATGTACAAACGGCCTGCCTTAAAGTCTGTCTCTCATCGCTCGCTCTCTCAGCGCGCGCGGACCACCTGTCTTGTCTCAGAGGGGGTCACCTGTGAAGTCAAACAGGTTTGATAATTAGAACACCTTAATCTCACCTGCCATCTTTTCAAAATAATGTTGAAATTATCTTTTTTTGTTGTTGTTGTTTCATCTGGAGGGGAAGAAAATGTTACACTCTTGTGTTATTTCCTTTAATTATAGGTGTGTTTCTGTTAGGGACCCCCCCCCCCCCCCACACACACACACACACACACACGCACACACACACAGTCTGCAGTCAGAGCTGATGTAGAGTTCCCGGCTAAAAATAGAGCAGCTGCACCGGTGGAAGGTCCAATATAGCAACAATTTGGTGTTTCTCGCATCTCCCGCCCCCTCACTGCAGAATCACTGCAACAAACCCGGCTGGGGTCGGGGGGGGGGGGGGGGGGGGGGTGATGTTAAAGCCTCAGAAATGGAAGAATGATGGCGTGCATCTTAAAACACGCTGCTGTCATGTTGGAGGGCTTGTTCGACATTTTTCAGATCCGCGCGCGCGCACGCATCCTCAGCCCGTTCTGAGCATCTCAGCGCGATTTAATGAGATTTTAATTAAGATCAGACCTCCTCCCACACGGATTGATCAAGCAGCTGCAGAACAAAAAACACTGGGAAATGAAAGCAGAAAAGAGATGAAACCACAAACATCTGCAGAACATCTGTTGTTTGTTGTGATTTAAGGGAGAGTTTTGAAACCAAGCAGAGGTGAAATAATCTGAAAATCTCTGCAGAAACATCAAAAACTTCACCAAAGATTCACTTAGAAACAAATAAAATACTGTTTTATCTTATATTTAGCTTATTCGAGCTTTTAGCCACTGTTGTTCTAATTTTAGCTTTTGTCCAATAATGTCCAGATTTTAGCTATTGCTCATTTAAGCATTTGTTTTACTAATTGGAACTTTTAGCTACTTTCTTCATATTGCTTTAAGCAACTGTTGTGTTGTTTTAAGCTTCTAGTTTTTGTTTGTTTGTTTAACTCCAGGTTAATGATCTGTTCTTGTTTATTTTGTTTAGCTTATTTTAGAAGCGTTTAGCTGCTGTTTTGCTCACTTTAGCTTTGATCCTCACTTTAACTTTAATCATCCAGTTTCAGCTTCTTCTTCGTTCATCTACTGTGATTTTTCCAGTTGTTTGTTTATTTATTTTTTGTTACATGACATTTATAAATGATACAAATGAAAGATGATCTCAGTAGTAGCCAAAACATGTTTTGCTGCCCGTCTTTGCTGATTAGCCAAATGTTCCGGATCAAATGTTATTGATTCCTGTTGGACTCTCGCTTCATCTCTGCGTCGGGCCTTCAGGCTGGTGTCACACCAGGTTCTGCTGAGTTCAAGTGGAGCATGTGTTCTCCGATCACACCAGACAGAACACGGATTAATCACTCTGGATCCAACTTCACTTTCAGAGAAAGTTGCTCGTTTCATAAATTCAGGTGAAAATAACGACCAGTGACCGTTTTCTGCTAAAAAAAAAAACATCTCTTCATCTCCGTTTTTATCAGCAGCTTCTCTTTAGTTCACATCTACAGAAGATGGTCACAATTATCTGCTCGGGCTTCACATGTGTGCAGAAATCAATGAGCCGGCTCATCAATGTCCCTGGTCGGTCGATGTGAGGTCATCAAAACATTATGTCTCTTGGTGCACGCGGCCAATCACGGTGAAATCAATGCCCACCATTGTTCTGCTCACCTTTAACAAACAGCCGAGTTAAAATCAACGGGGAGATTAAAACCAATCTGACAACCGGACGAACGCAGCCTGAAGAGATTCAGTTCACTAACAGAGTAAAAAATACTTCATTAAAAATCATTTTCAAGGATCTTCAAGTACCTGAAAGTACCAGGTAGAGACAGTGTGTACCTAATGGTACTTACTGGGTATATACCAAGTAAGTACCAGGATGCACCTGGTAGGTACCCGGTGAGTTCCCAAAACACAACAGGTACTGGGTACCTGGACATATCTGGTCTGAGCTGGGTGCTTACTTGGTACACTCGGTATGTAGCAGATGTGTATTGGGTACAAACTGGGCACTTATTTGGAACTGATTTCTTACTGGGTACAGTCCGGGTACTTGCCAGGTATATACAAGGTATGTATTTTGTTTATATTGGTTTTTTTTATGGGAAGTAGGTATGTGCTGGGTATTGCTAGGTATAGGGATACACAATATTATCGGCATGGTATTGAAATGGGCAGATATTAGTGTTAAAGTTAAATATCGGACATCGGCCATTCTATCAAAATAACTCACCGATATAAAAGACACTGTTTTTGTACGACAAGGATGCCTGCAACGGCAGCACAACGTGATGACATCACGCACGCCTACCTGATCTCACGGTGGAGAGGAAAATTCAAAATGTCAGCGGTGTGGACATTTTTTTTCATTGAGGATGTTGGACTCTGAAGATTTATGGACTAGGTTGAGCCTCGCTACATCGTCCCCAGTCAGAGACGTTTTTCCAACGTAACATTACTCGAGTTACAAACCGTCGTTTCCAACTTCATTGAGAAGCTAACAGCCGATAGCACTTGGGTGAGTTTTACCTCAGACATTTGGACGTCGTGTTAGCCTCGTTAGCATGATTAGTCTTACGGATCAATGGATAGACAAAAACTTTGAACTTAAAAAGTCTGTCCTTCATGCACAGGAGTGCAGAGGATCCCACACTGCAGCTGAACCTGGAACGAGCCTCCACAAGTGAGACAGCATCACAGGTGACTAATGCTAATAAATAACATTTAACACTTTTCATTTAATATAAGTTAAAGTGCTATGCACATGGCTGTTATGGAATATATGTCACCAGCTCTTACAGCTGTTACACAATTTTTGTAGCAAATAAGCCTAAATAAGAGGGCTATGTTCTGACAAAGTACTTTGTATTTAAAATATTGATATCGGTATCGCCAAAATAAGTTTTAACATATCGGCATATCGGATATCGGCCAAAAATACAATATTGTGCATCCCTAGTACATATGTGCTTACCAGATACAAACGGAAACCCGGGTACATGATGAGCACGTGCTGATAGATGCTTATTTTTTATGTAATAGAAACTGGAATGTACTGGGCACCTGGTGTAGCATGTATGAACCAGGATGTGCTAAGCATTGCCACATAACATTTCATAAAAATCTTATGCACTATGTCCTTACCCTGAATGTATTGTTGATTTTCTGTAAGACAACTAACAATTATTTCTTGGAAGTCCAGGGTCATGTTGTTCAGAGCCTTTCTGTCCTGAGAGCAGCAGCTGCTGAACCGGGCAGTGATGTCAGCGGAAGGAACAGCTCCAGCTGCAGCAGTGAAGAAGGTCTTGAGCAGCGCTGCAGAGATCCTGCACCTCCTCAGTCTTCTCGGGCCGTATACAGCCGCTGTCTCGCATAAATAAATGATGAAAAAGTTGAAATGATAAAAATGATGCAGAGAGAGTCTTGGTGATACTTCAAGATATTGCATCAATGCAACAAGGCGTTATTTTTCTGTCTGTGGTACCAAAGTTTGAACATTTAACTAAATAACAAAAACTCAATATCCCTTTAAAACAAGCTCTACAGTCTCTCCTGCTTTACTCTTACCGCTCTGACTGCAGTCCGTCTCGTTCCTGTATAGTGGAGGATTCTAGCAATGGTCCTAGATATTGTTGTAAAACCTGTAGATAATTTTCTGCATTGGTGGAGCCTTTCCAGCTGTGTAAAAGCTCCCCATACTGGAA